ACTACACTTCATTTCAATGCTATATATTTGGTTTATCATCAACCATTGGATATCTTTATGTACTAAGTAAGTCTAATATTTGTATTAGTTATTCTATTAAATTCATAGTAATACCAGATATCAGTTCTACTATTATTCCAACAGGCAGTTCATCATATTTTCATTCAGACTTTACCTCCAGCACACCACTAATGTCTTCATTCATCCCTAATGTGACAATGATATCATTAAGTTCTCATTCACACATAATTTTAACATCTTTTTCACTTTCTGTGTCTCCCCAGTCTCTCAATAGCTCACCATTAAAAGTTCTAGCAGGATCCTCTTGTATAAACAATATAACAATAGATTCAACACTCTACAGTACTGAGATGCTGATGATGTCATCTTCTATTAATACCCCAATGGTTATCGAAAATATTAAAAGTAGCAGTTATGGGAATGAGACTACTAATGGGAATAGTCACAATGTGAGAGTTATCTTCATTTCGGCTGTTGTTTCATCAATTTGTGCAAGTAAAGTCCATTGTACGGTAGTAAATGTTATTTTTTTCCTAAATTACAAGGTCTATTGATGACAGCTGCTATGTGCCTTATTGTTTTTGCTCTGGTTAGAAAGAAAAGAAAAGGTATATTATATTGAAAGTTGATTGCAATGAATATGGTGTATTATTAACACAAGCAATTCATTATGCATATGTACTATGCTAAAAAGGCACTGATTTATGATAATATGATTATAGTGCATATCACTCTGTTTGGGATCATTTTATTTATTTATCGTTTGATTCGTTTCTAGAAAAGAAGTCCACAAAAACATTTTCTGAGTCCAATCCAGTTTATGATGAGCCAGTTCATGAAAATATCCAGTAAGTGGTGGATCTATACTCAGTATTAATAGTGTTAATGTATTTGTTAGGTTTAATCCATCTTATGGGTTGGTCAGAGGGACTGTGAGGTCCACTGTCAATCCAGTGTATGAAGAAATTAACTTAACTTAAGGACAAGCAATAAAGTTTCTTTTAAGGTTTTCATAATGATAGTGTACCATACGTGTAATGCCATGCATGCAAGTGTCGCCACTCACCACAGTTTAAATGGGTCAGGCATAAGATAATATTAATTTCCATGATCATATTTTTACTAAAATTAATTTTTTTTAAAATTACCTACTATAATTATAGTTGATTTCTAAGTAACATGTTTTTCACATTCTCATTAATTATATTAACAAAACTACAAAAATATAAGACTGTAGTTTATAGTCAGTATCAAATTGTTCAATAATCACAAAAATAAAACCAACATTGTCATTAAAAATGTAATACCAAGCGTTGGGTTGTGGCTACCTGCAGCTGTAATAATAGAGTAGATATACTGATTAGATATACTGGTTTAGACTGACCATAATTTCCTGGACTAGAAGGCCCACTAGTTGTGGTTGTAGAAGGCCGACTAGAACTAGTTGTAGAAGGTCCACTTGGTATAGTTGTAGAAGGATCACTAGGACTAGGAGCATTAGTGGATGATGGAGTAGAGCTAGAAGGACTTGGATCTGAAGTTTGAGCAGAAGTACTTGAACTCATTTCAATGTCACTGACTACAACATAACACACCATAAAAATAATGAATTTGCTGAAAATTAATTTTTACTTTTGGCTATTGTGTATGATTCCATTTGATTATCATAATAAACAGAAATGTTGAGAGTCTCAGGAGTACCAAGCATTGTTATGTTGATACAGAAATCAGTGGGTGATTTGCTAAGATCTGTAGTACAATCACACATTGCTACAGTTGTTGATGAGCCGTAAACATTGGCACATGTTCCGGCACCACCAATTTGTAATATGTATGTAGTTTTATTCAAGATAATACTACTAGGAACATTACCACATACAGAAGTGATGCATAGTAGATCTGAATTGTCGGATCCATACAGCTTAGATGGGTTAACCTCATAGTCATAGCCCCATCTATTTGAAGAGTTGAGGCCAGATTCAATACCAATTAAAAGTAGAATAAGGATTCTTAGAATTGCCTTCATCCCTGCATGCAGTAGTAGTAGTCTATGCCATTGTTGCGACAGCAGCCACACCTCTGGATCTCTAACTATTTATAGTTATTATATACTAACTAGAGTTTTATAGTCTCTAAATCTAGACTTTGTAACATGAAGCTTAGTCTGCTCATCATGATTGTGCAGAGTCTACTGATGGCTGTTAGCTGGTAAGGATTGCAGCCTTGTTAAGTGCTTTGAATTTCCTAAATTTAGTTATGCTGCTTCTTTCGTAAAGGCACCATCTCCTACTACAGATGCTATCATAAATGGCAGTGCAAGGATAGACTGTATTATTACTGGAGGCTCATGGAACATTCCAAATTGGAAAATTAATGATCAACTTTATGATCCAAGAAATAATCATCTGCCTTTACCAGCTGGAGCAAGCAGTGATTTTAGTGGATTATTGATTGATCCAGTGACACTTGCATGGAACAATACTTCATTTCAGTGTTACATGCCAGGAATAATATCAGGAATTGGCTACTTATTTGTTTACTGTAAGCTAATTTTATCCCTCTCGTGTCTTATTATTTATTTTAACATGCAGATCAGGAAGTAATTCTAATAAGCAGTAGCTCATCAGAACATGTGATAAGCAGTTCGTTAGCTGTTTCACTACCAAATGAATCTAGTTATGGATCTAGATCTATACCTACTGACACTGAAGCAGAGGTATCATCACTAAAAGATTTGCCTCTACGTTATGGTATGTGCTATGCCCTATATAAAATTAGCCAATGATTTTGAACAATGTAATCACTGTTAGATATATTTTCTACTTCTGCTGATGATGAGCGGTTTGTTTTATCAAGTTCCATGTATTCGATGTCTGAAGGAAGTCTCAATTCTGAAATTGAACAGACCCAAGAGACCAATGGTGTTGACCATGTTGATATGAGATTTGTTTATGTTGTCACTCCTGTATTAGTAACAGGTAAGTCTTGTTTGTATCTTAAGCCTCATCATGAGAATAACAGTTATACAGACTTAAATTTGTTTGTGTGTAATTATTTACCTATACTATACTGATCTCATAATTATTTTTATTATTATTGTAAACATTAAGGCACATGTCTCTTTATTGTTGTGACTTTGGGGATTTCATTGAGATGCTATTACATCAAAAAAGGTGAGGACAAAATTTATGATTCAAATAAAATTTGAATGTCCTTTTAGTGAAAAAGAAAAACACAGCAACTTCATCTAATGAAGAGTATGCTATTTCCAGAAATGAGCCATTTCTCTCTTCAATTCAGAGACATGAAGTGCATCATAATCCAGCATATGGCATGGTAGAAAGAAGAACAGGGATTATGTGCATCAACCAAGCTTATGGTTTGGTTACTGGACACAATGATGAATCCAGATTGAGGCACAATCCAGCTTATGGTGTGATCAGACTTTAAATTAAGTGTATGAAGCTACTGTTGCCCATTATAAAATTCAGAACATTTTCTGTCAACAATGCTAAATTATATAATCTATATAATTAGATTTAATGTGATGCCAACTACCAATAGTTGTTATATTTTTTGACGACAACATAGATAATATACCACATAAATATACATGAGTATACATGATGACATATAATAGACCTCTTTGGGTGAGAATGAATTACGTCAAAGAATGATATACGGCAAGGGGCGTGACTGAGCCTGGCTGACTCTGAAATAATTTTCGTGGACGGCAACTTTCTATGGAGTATGAATGGGCTAATGCAGAAAGCAAGCTCTATTAAAGAATATACTTCATATTGCACCAAATCTCTTTTAGGAGATGCTTAGCAGCGACCATTCTTTCCTCCAACCAGCTTTTGTAGCTTGAAAAAGCTCCATGCCAACGAAAAGGATTAGTTTTGCCTTTTCTTCATCTATCCTCCATTGATCTTGCCGTCCAAAATGG